AAAAATGATAAGTTCAATAATCAGAAACCTATACATTTTATGTAAAATTTAATTACATAAAAGGAAGCACAAAGGACCTGAAGCAAACAGCTGAGTCCAGGAGGCATTCGGCGGATCCTTCAAAACAACAAAGTGCAGAGCTTTCATACAATGACGCTCACTTCTGCACATGGCAAGAAGGGCAGCGGGGAGGAACGCCAAAGAAACCAATGGTACTCACTGGTGGAGTTGCCCTGCATCTGGATGATGCACTTGGACTCCTTGCTGGTCTCCCGCGAGTTGAAGGGCCGCACTCGGACAGCCACCTTCACCGAGGCTCCCGACATCCTGATGGCCTTGGGATACACCCAATCCAGAGACGAGGAATCAAGTCTTCTTCTGAAGTTATATCAAGTTTCCTTTGAAAAGAGGAGTTCCATACAAGGCAGTGAGAATTAAAGGAAACATAAGTCAATGAAAATAGAAGAGGCTGCTACCTTACGTTCTGTTTGTTTCCATTTCTGAAATCTTCATCTTTCCTCCCCTGAAACTTGTATTCCCAGCAGTAAATTATCAACTACTAAAGGCTGAAATTTGTTTTCCTATTCCATTAGCACCTTCTCGTTCCTAAAAGGTTCCTAAATTTATTATAATTTTTGGAAGTGCACAATAGGCATTTATCTTTTCTGTTTCTAGATCACTTTTTAGTACTATATTAAATTTTGTTGTTGTTGCAGAAGTTTTTTTTGTTTTTTTTAAGACAGGTTTCCATTCTGTGGCGCAGCCTTACTGTAGTCCAGGCTGGCTTTGAACTTGTGGCACTCTCCCTGCCTCAGTCTCCCAAATGCTGGAATGTATAATACCACACCCAGCTTCTGTTGAAGAGGTTTCCTAAGCAAGAGCTTTCCATCTGTAAACTTTATTACCTTTCTTTAAAGAAATCCACTGAACATTCTATGCTTTACAGTTTGAAACATTTGGTTACATGATGTACAGTTACGCAGTAGAACAGACTTCGATTCAGGTGCCTCAACTACTCAGCGATTCTCACTAGCTTTGAAGATACCTTGTATATTGCACCTCCTGTAACGCAAGCTCAGAAGTTGCCCACAGACTCAGCTCCTATCTTCACACTTGTCAGTGACTCACACCAAAATCCAATTGCATATAGAAGCCACAAGAAAAGTGCTAGTATTTTCAGAAGAAAAGTTTCCCTCTCCAAAGAATAAAAGCTATACTATTCTGTGGGAAAACGCGCGCACACGCACACACACACACACACACACAAAACAACAGATCTCTCTAGTCAGAAAGAAATGTTCTAGATAAACATTCTCTAGAAGAACAAAACAAAAGAAAAGCCTAAAGAATAAGTGTGAGTCCAATTATCGGGGAAGCCACACTATTAAGCAGAGATTAATGGGGGCTGGTGAGATGGCTCAGTGGTCTAAAGCACCTACTTAGAACAAGCTTAGCAAAGCACAGGGCCGCAGTTCAATCCCCCAGCACCACATGCCAGCCAGCCCCGCCCCCTGGTGGGCTGAGCTGGCCGAACACATACAAATAAATAAATAAATAAATAAGCAGAGATTAAAAATGCTCACCTCTGGCAGTTCAACACTACCAATGCTTTCCCTATGGAAAAGGCAAAAATAAATAAATAAATAAATAAATAAATAAATAAAGCCCCCAAGTCACTTTCTACCTGCATACCCTATGAAATCCCCCTTTTCAGGGCTGGGGAAATAGCCCAGCAGAATAAGCGCTTGCCTGGCAAGCACAAGGTCCTGAGTTAAATTCCCAGTGCCGCAAAGAAAAAGAAATCCCCTTTGTCATTCCCCCAGAATGGGGCCATCTGCAGATCTATATCTCCCCCTCCTTTTGAGACAGGGTCTCACTAAACTGCCCAGGCAGGACTGAACTTGGCTTCCCAAGTGCGAGGATGACAGGCCAGCTCCCTATCTTAACAGCATCAGCAGTATTTGAAATTCCTGTGTTATGGGTATCTCTCCTGTTTTTCACAGCATACCAGACTGCTCAGTGAGCACCTGTCTTGTGTGCTAGCGCTAGGAAGAGTACCTGACATGTTGGCTAAACGAATGAATTACACAGTCCAGCTACAAGAATTATCTTTTTTTTTTCTTTTTTGAGACAAGGTCTCACAATGTAGTTTAGACTGGCTTTCAACTCACTATGTAGCCTAGGCTGGCCTCGAATTCATAGTGATCCTCCTGCCTCAGCCTCTCAGGTGCTGGGATTATAAGTGTGCACCACCACACCCGGTGAGAATGGTCTATTTAAATCTTCTTCCTAGATGGCTGATTTTTTTGTTTCAAAAAAAAATTTTTATATTAACCTTTATACAAACTGCACCAATATTTTTCTAGTCTGTTCCCCATTTTAAATTTGATAGTTCTTTATTTAATATGCCATATATTTTATGATCACATTTATTAAATAGAACAGGAATTATAAAAAACTTAGGAGTTATTAAGCATTCCAATTAGTGCAGCATATTTTATATACTTTATATTCACTAGCTGAATACTATACCAAAGAAAACAAGAATTCATGAAGCATACAGGAAAAAAAAAAAAAGACACATTTCAGCTCCTCCTAGGTTGCTCTGATACATAATCATTCTCTCGGCTTTCGCCAAAGTCTGAAACACACAGCCTTCTTTCCTGCAGTAGCAATCCCACCAAGGTTCCCACTTCTGTCACATCATTCTCTCTCCCACACAGGGGTCAGCTTGGTTTCCACCTCTTTGAATCCTTGTATCAGTGCTAACAGAATTCATTAAAAAGATGAAAACATTACGGACATAAATTCGCACTGCTATATCCCACCTTTTCACTGCCATTACCCTAACCCATGTGCTCAGAATATTTAAAGTGAATGAGCTGTTCTTGGAGCTTTTAGTCTTTGACTCAATAGTCCTTTAACAGGGCTACACAAAACAGACTCACAGGGGGTCTTTTATAAAGCAAATGAGCCTAGACTCCCCCTGTCCAGTATTCAACAAGTCGAAGCTAGACCCTGGTATTAGTCTGGCACTTTGTTTTTAATTTTTCAGAGATGTGCCTGCAAATCCTAGGCAGAACCACAGCTGCAGGCCACTGCTTCACCTGCTGCCAGACCAACCTTGCTAGAGCACGCCCGCCTCTCAGCGAAGATCCTTGTCCTGCTCATCCTTTCCCGTGCTTCACTATTTCTCCTCTGCCAGAGGCACACAGGCATCTGCTTCCTCCCTGCGTGGCTGCCCAGCCCGTCTCCCCTTCCGAAAGCTTTCCCAAAATTCCAGGAGTCAATGGCATTTTCTATAGCGCTTACATACTCCTTGCTGCAGAGCACAGCTGTCTTTTATAAGGCTGCATTCTGTCTTGCCCTGCTCTTTAATAGCTTCCCAGAGTAAAATTCTCTTTCTTTCTCTTTTTTTTTTTTTTTTTTGGTGGTACTGGGGATTGAACTCGGGGCCCTGTGCATGCTAGGCAAGCACTCTGCCACTGAGCATAACCCCAGCCCCCAGAGTAAAATTTTGTTCCTTCAAAAATCTTGAAGGGGCCAGGGAGATAGCTCAGTAGGATAAACGCTTGCCTGGAAAGCGCAAGGGCCTGAGTTCAATCCTCAGTTCTGGAAAAAAAAAGTCTCCTTGAACCTATGTTCCTTGAAAAAAATGGCAAATTTCAAGTATAGGCAAAGAAATTTCAAGATTGTTAGCAGCTGAAAAGCAAATATATGACAAGAATGAATGATATCACGTTAAAACAACACAGATAAAGCTTAAAGAGCTCCTACTAGCCAAAATAATTAGGAGGATTAAACAAAAAAATTTTGCAAATGGACTGAAAAAACCCACCAGATACACAAAGTCATGAGTTCATAACGATAACCGTAGAAAACCTCAGTATTCTCAGCTGGGGTCTAGCTCAGTGGCACAGAGCACTTGCCTAGTACACAAGAGGCCTGGGGTCGATCCCCAGCACACAAAAGAAAATCAATATTCAGAAGACTAGCAAATGAAACAAAAGAACTGGACTTACATTTAGCCTGTACAGCTTACGTAAAATACTCCAGGATAACCAGTCAGTGAGACTAGGCTCTTCTTTGGAGTAAAATTTCTTGCTAGTAAACGCAGAAGCAATGCATTTGAATGTCACCTTTTCCAGGCTTACTGGTGGAAAGGCTTTCTGCAAAATCATCACTGGCTATTGAAATGGACCCCATGAAAGGTTGCTTGATGGGGAATATTATAACCTAAGCCAAGAACATCTGAGCCACACAATCAGCCTTATGTCTCTCTCCTCATGTACTACACAGAAAATACACCACCTAGGAAATACTCTCACCCCACTCCTGAGAGAAAGAAAGGAAGGGAGGAAGGGAGGGGTAAGGGGAGGACAGGAGCCTTAGATCCAGTTACCAGTTTGTAAGACATACAGAGAGCAAAGCAGGCAATTCAGATGACACATCAAAGGTGAAATTAGCCAAATCTAGACCACAGAAAAATCTACAGAACAAGTCACCCAGTTTCTTTAAATAAATAGCATACATCAAGAGAAAGGAGTTACAAGAGAGATATGTTATTTATCAACCAAATGCAATGATTTTTCAATCATCTTTAAAAATACATATTTTGAAAAAAAATAAGTATTTTCAAAAATCAAGTATAGAAGAAACAAGATTTCCAAGATATTGATAACTGGATATTGTACTTAATTTTTTTTTTTTTTTTTTTTACAAAAAGGCTTTTTGTATTCTATCCAGGGCCTACAAAAACGCTGAATACTTTTGACTTGCAAACAAGATGATAACCGCTGAACCTCCTTTATAGATTTGTAGCCATGAACCAAAAACACTGGTATCTCCAATATCTAACATCCTAAACATTCATTTTTCAACAGACTGCTTGATTCCTCTACCTAGCTTTCCTGCCAGCCTTTCATTCAGCCTCACACACCAAAGCCAAAGCAGCTCTCCCTCGGACAATGCAGGCTCCTTCGCCTCTTTTCTGTTTAACATTCCCACCATTCTGTTCCCACAGACTGAAAAGCTTGCTTCCTCTATCCACCTAATTAGTTTTCCAAATTGCTTGGCTTCCACCAATGAAAGAAATCTTTCCATTCCTACTTCCACACCCCAGTGAGTCATCAATACTCAGCCTTGGCCTTCTTAACCAACTTGACTTTCTTCCTCCTATCCCATTCTTGCTACACAATATTTCCATTTTCAACCACATCTATATACTATGTGATACTGCCACACTCAGCCACCTGAGGTGCAGTTCTATTCCATTTATTGTCCACTTACACGTCTTCAGCGTGGCTGGGCACAGTGGCACATGCTAGGAAGTTTAGCTACTTGGGAGGCTGAGACAGGATTCCAAGTTCTCTTTTCCCAGTGCTGATTAAATCAAGAC